AGTCGTGCATGCCGTAGTCGTTTGACCGTTGACCTCGTATCCCTGCAAAGCCGGGACGGAGCACGCCGGGTTCTCACCGGACCAGGCTCTCACATCACCAAGCGCGAAGCGCCGTGAGGTATTCGGCGAGTCGCATGAAGGGTGAGCTGCATCCTGCTAAGGGTGTTCGGCATCTTGTGCTTACTTCCTTGCGTACGGATGACAGCTGCGTATGACTTAATTCATTTTCTGGTGCTTTCACTTCCAGAGACAGTTGTAAGCACTGTGTAACTGCCTCGAGGATGCTTGACCATTTTAACACAACGTGGTGCGATCATCCCCCCTTGCGCGGAGCGAGGGTTCTCGACCCCGCACAACATGATCTACTCGACCACCATTATGGTTACCGCCAAAAAAAAAACCAGAGGTAAAAAAAAAAACGGTAACCTGGTTGCCGAGTTCACGAAGTGAATTGGCTTGTTTTACAACGTCGTTGCCAAGCGACGAAAACCCAACCCCGATGGCAAACACCGGGGGGGGGCGGGGAGGGGGGGGGGGTACAGTCTGTGGATCGGTCTGGGGAAAACAGCAACGGGCACAAAGAGGGGTCGGTACCCCACCCAAGCCATCACAAGTTTTCGGTTGGTACTTGTAAGGAGGCCCATCACTCAATCCTTGCAAGACAACAGGCAGGCCACACGGATTTACCCCTTTGCAAATTGGTGCGCACCTAAACAATCTTTCAAGTGTTGGGTTTCCCTACATGGCGGGGGGGGGGGGGGGGGGGACCCGACAACAGTCCAAACCTGGGAGACGCACCCCATTCTACGTTCGCTCCCGACCGGCAAAAAAAAAAAAAAAGGCCGACGACAACGACGACGACGACGACAAAAAAAAAAAAATGCACAGACAGACGTGCGAGATGGCACTGAGCCTGAAAGGAAAGCCTCGACGCACACAGCACGCCCGAAACCCACTATAACGCTGGAGTTGCCCCCCCCCCGTACGTGAGTCGCCTCTTCTTCCGTGATTTACTTTCGCTTGTTTGTTTGGCCATGTGGCGTCCTTGTGTGGTCTTTCTCGGGGGAAAAACGAACCGCGAACACCGAGTACCAAATACCGACGTGATCAATCGGGCTGGAAAGCGCGTGGTGTTCAAGGCATGCGTTTTTCTGTCGGTGGCTCAGACAGACGGGGGGGGGGGGACGCCACGAAACGCCAACCGTACACGCCGAGTGGTCACACCGCACCTCTTGCTCTCGAGCCGTCTCAGGCGTTCTTTCAGTTTCCCTAGGCCATCCTCTCTGCTGTTTTTCCTCTCTTGCATCAAGCTGTCATGCCTGCAGGGAGGGGGAGGGGAATGGGGAGGGGGGTGAAGCACCAGACACGGAATGCACGTCAAAATCTAGGAACCTTCAGTGTCGCAGATTGCGAAAAAAAAATGGGGGGAGATGCGAGGCAACCAACCAAACATCCACATCTGAGAAAGCACCACTACCACGAACAACAACAATATTAACGCTATCAACAACAATGGCCGCTACTTTTTACCACCCCGCGACAAACGCCAGCAGCGCACAAAAAGCAATGCCCGATTTTCTTTTCTTTTCTGCTTGAGGTACAGTAGTAGGTCTACATAACGCGACACATCAACAGCCGCTTTCCTCTTCCTCGTCACTCAAACAAAACACAAGTATGCACGGACGGCACAATAAAAAAAAAAAAAACTATCTTCTAACTCACTTTTGCCTCGTCGTCCGTTCCACCGCACGGTGCACGTCCTCGACCAGCGAGATGTACTCCTCCAGCCCCATCTCAAGCCTCATCACTCCCCCCCCACGATCTCCCTCTGCGTTGCCCCCCCAGGAGAGTCCCGCCCTGAGCAAGAGCCTCATCTTCCCGGCCAGCTGCTCCAGCAGACCTCCCCTCAGCCCCGCGGCAAAGTCTTCTTGCGCGTTCGCCTGCTGCCGCCGCTGCTCCTGCTCCTGCTCCTGCCATACGGTCGACGCTTTCGCACCTCCCGCGGACGTCGACGGCGTTCCGCCGCCGGCCGTCTCCAGCAGGAGAGAGACCAACGCCGAGGATGATAACGACGGCTGGGGCGGCGCGGGCGTGGACGCCCCTGCAGCGGCGGCGGTGTCGGCGGTGCCGTTGCCGCTTCTCTTGTCGTAGCCGTGCCGCTTGCCGTCCTTCGAGGACGAGGAGGAGGAGGAGGAGGAGGAGGAGGAGGAGGACAGGAGGAGCTCCCGCAGACACCTCAGCACCGACTCCGGCCGGTTGACCCACCAAGCTCCCGAGCTCTCCGCTGCCGCTGCCGCTGCCGCCGCCGGCGCCGGGCTTCCGGCGGAGACGGCCATCGCCTTATCGCTTGGACCCGTCGCCTCGGGGGCCTGCTGCTTCTTCTGGGCCGCAACGGCGGTGGTGCCGCTTCCGCCGCCGCCGTCCCCGCCGCCGGTGTCGCCGCCGTCTTCTTTTACAACGGCGGCGGGAGTAGGAGGAACAAACGTCGCCGCGGCCGTCGATGCGAAGAGGGAGGCCCACCCGCCCCTGGCGAGCGCCGGCCTGGGCCCCGCCATGGGCGTCGGCGTGAAGAATGGCCCGGCACCGCCGCGGCTGAACCCGCCGCCGCCGCCGCCGCCGCTAGCAGCAGCCTTTGCCCCCAAAGCAGAAGAAGGACCAGGCACCGCTGCCCCCGCCGCTGCTTCCGCACCGGGAGCGGTCACGCCGGTGGCCGTAGCAGGGGTGGGCACGGCGGCCAGCTGCTGCTTGTCACCACCGCCGCCTCCGCCGCCGACGTCGTCGGTACCTGGCAACAAAGAGGCCGCTGACGGGGTTCGCAGGGAAACGGCGACACGATCCATCCCCGCTACCGCGGCCACCGCCGGCGCCGCCGTCGAGCTTGCCGCACCACCACCATCACCTCCTCCTCCTTCCGCGCTCGACTCCTCCGAACGCCACGCCCCACCGGCAGCCGCCGCCGCCGACGCCGCCGCCGCCTTCGCCGCCGCCGCCTTCGCCGCCGCCGCCTT